GGCGGCAGGGGTGGGACGCAGGGGTGCGGCGGCAGGGTGGGGCGCAGGGGTGCGGCGGCAGGGGTGGGACGCAGGGGTGCGGCGGCAGGGGTGGGAGGCAGGGGTGCGGCGCAGGGGTGGGGCGCTGCAGGTTCCCAGGAGGGACTCGCACTCGCACTGTCTCCCGCAGGAGGTCGTTTTTAAAATGACAGTCAGAGAGGCGACCCTCTCCGCAGGTGAAAAACCTAGTTTACTTAGAAACTATTACTTCCCGTATATTCCTGACCAGTGCCCTTCTTACATGGCGGGGGCGGGGGGGGGGGTCTTCATTTACGTCTTTACCTGAAACTGGGCAAGTCCCTGTCCCACCTCTGGCAGATGACAAAGACACCTGGGTAAATGTAATAAAGAGTTTGGGCTGTGGAGATATTCTGTATGGACTTTTACCATCAAGTATACATTTTAAAAAATTCCCAAATAAAAGAACATATTAGAAATAGGTATGTGTTTTTAAGTATCTAGCTACCGACACTAGCATCGCTTCAATATAATTTATACTGAATGGGGGGGTAAGATTTGTCGTTTTGATTAACACTTGTAACAACAGCAACTTTTTACTGAATGGTTACTGTGTAGCCGGCGCTGTGCTTAATCCGTTTCCTTTTTTTTTGAAACCTTTTTTTTAATGTTTTATTTATTTCTGAGAGATAGAGAGACAGCGTGAGCAGGGGAGGGTCAGAGAGACAGGGAGACAGAATCTGAAACAGGCTCCAGGCTCTGAGCTGTCAGCACAGAGCCCGACGCGGGGTTCGAACCCACGAACTGTGAGATCATGGCCAGAGCCGAAGTTGGACGCTCAAGCAACTGAGCCACCCAGGGGCCCCCAATCCATTTCCTTTCAACATTCACAATGACCTATGAAATACATTATCCCCATTGAATAAAGTTAGGGAACTGCCTAAAGGCCAAATCCCTAATTCATACCCAGGACTACCTGATGCTAAAGGACTATTCTCTCAACTACTCTATAGTTTCTCTGATAAACAGCAACAAAAAGATGAAGCAATCTGAAGAAATTAATCTTAAACAAATACAATACCAGTTCCTGTAAGCACTAAATCATATTTGACAGCTCAATACTCCAATGGGATTTTATTTGCCAAATAGGAATCACAGCTAAATGGCAAGTTTCTGGAATGCTCAGACCGAGTTGAAAAGTGGATCTGGGGAGGAGGGTCTCTTACCTGTGTGGCCATCTCCACTCTCCATAGATGGTTTACTGGTTTCTGACGGATTGTTCATTCTTGAGTCTGCAATGAATCAGAGGTGAATGAGGTTCTTTAAAAATTGGGGATGTGGTTAGGGAGGCAAAGCTGTGATGAAGGAAAGGTTTAAGAACACTGACTAACGTTAGTTAGTCCCACAGTTCAAAGACTGGCAGTGTCAACACTAAAAACATTGGAAATTAGAGTAACAGTTTATCTGAAAGAAATCCAGGATTTCCCTTAACCCTGAAGTGATCCACGAATAAATGGTCTTTCTAAAGAATTTTAACATTCTTCTAACAAAGATAACAGAAATCTAACCTGAACAAAATTATAAGAGTTTGACATGTAAAAGGAGTAAATATAATACGAAGCATAAAATACATTACAGAAACAAAGTTGGGGAAGTAAAACGTTATTCTCAAAAATTTTCTTTTTCATAAGCAAAGGTATTTGTTAATCAAACCAAAACAATCCGTCAGTAATCTTCATAATAGACTGGCAGTAACTCAACCCAGAAGAAGAAGAAAGGGTGTCTAAGAAAAGTATCTCCATATTTACTCCCCGTCCAGATGAAGTAACCATGCGTCAAAGTAAGAATATGCCAAATTCATACCTCAATCATAAAGCACGACAAGAAGTTGTACCACAAGGCATAACAGAGATATCTAATAATTTCAAAAAGGAATCACAGCCACGCCCACCTAGAAATTATACTACCCATCTGATATTGCCTTTGAACCTGCTGGCAGGGGTCTAATTCCTTAAGGGTCATCTCTTTAATCAAGGTTTTCATAGTAAAAAGTTGTCACCAAGCAGTATGAGGTCTCCCAGAAGATACGCAAGACACAAGAACAAGTCTGCTTTTCTTCCACCTTTTCAATAGAGTAAGAACTAAATATACATTTAATATATGCCTTATTCTACTTCTACTGTAAACCCAAACTTAGCGTATCTGTAATCAAATGAGTTTACTCTCCAGTAAGCTCCCCCCTTTCCCCTACTGGGCTAAAAATCATTTAACTCTAATTATAAGTTGAGAATAAACAAACAATGGGATATTTGATTTTTTTTTCCCTACTGAAAAGCACATTTTGTCCGCTTCAAAGTTCAGTGAGGAAATCAAAGCAATCACCAGAAGCCCCAACCATGCTGTCCACAGCTGCTGCATCCAAACGCCTAAGTGACTAGAAACAATCACAAGCCCTCCTGCCATAAACTTCATTTTCTAGTAAGTTTTTGAAACAGATTCTGGTCTTCTGGTTTGAGGCAGTTCTATCATATCTCTGGTTTTTTTTTTTCTTCAGATGTTTGAAGGATTCAAATTCGTATTCTGTGGTCATAAATGAGACTAGTTCTACAACTTCCTTGCCTCTGCTGTCCAAAACATTTAAATGGCCCAGAAAGCATACCAAGGTTTGAAAGGAACAGGTGTACAGCTTAGTGAAAATCAGCTTTCTGAATGACTGAATCAAATCTTATGAAAGGCAGCAAAGATCATAACAGATGTTAAGATACCAAAATGCTTCCTTCAGAATGTATGTTTAAAAACAAAGTGGGAAAAATATGAACCAGTTAACATTCATAAAGAGGGTGACAATTTTTCCACATATCTTATACAAAGAAGTAGGCATAATTCTTAACAAGTCAGGAAACTGGCCTTGTGCAATTCATACCCGAATTTCCATGTAACCAAAGTAAAACTTATGTCACAGGTATTCCGTGTGAATCCTCTAGGCATTTACTACTGAATTGTACAGAGCGTCAAAGATATTTAACAAAATGACTTTACACATACACACACAAATAAAATTCTCACTTAATGTACAACGATGTGAAGACTGTTCAAATGACGCTTACTGTTAATTACAAATAACAGAGATACCATTTCTAATTCTAAAATACAGTGCTAAAAATATTTCAAAGAGGTATTTTCCTTTCCTTTCTTGAGTTCCCAACTCAGTAGATGTAAAAGAGTAGATACAAGTAAGTTCTTTTTTTGCTATCTGAAGTTTTTTACTCTCTGGGCACACTGAGCCGTGTAGGAGTCTAATACACAGTCTACAAATTGCTCTTACATTGGACTGAATTCTTGACATCAATGTTTTAACTGTTGTTTTTATTGTGCTGTTCAAATATTACTTGAGTTTGGGCCATTCCTCCTGCCTAAGAATATAAACATTGACAGACGTATCATTTAATTTTATCCTTAGCAACTGTGAAGGAGAAGGGGGATGGGGAGCCTCACTTTTTCAAGTGAGAAAAATGACACAGAGGAAAAAAAATCACTTACAACGATTTTAAACCTTAAATATCAAAGTCCTGGAGTTCCGATCATCTGACCTTCCAGGTGACCAGAGTGGCCTGAAGAGGTTTCAAGAACTGTGCACCCAGACAAAACTCAACACAAAACAGGGCCACTGTGAGCCACCACGTAGCTCAAAACCAAAGCGCCTCAAGCTATTTTGAATCTTGTTACCAAAGACAGTTTATATAATCAAGCCGCACATCCCCCTCCCTAAAAGGCTTGTTGTTCTATAGAGAAAACTTTCAAACAGGCTTTCCAGCACTTAACACTATTTTCTGAAGAAGGGACGGTGATTTAAAAAAAAAAAAATTGAAAAGGCTGATATTTGCCAAAATTTGCACAGTTGACAGCTCCCAAATCTGGAAACTGATCAGCAGCCCCCCGTGGCAGCCGCGGCCATCCGCCTCTGCACCGGCGCTTGAGGAGCCACTCTGCACACTGGCTCCACCTTCGTTCTCACCAGGCACCTTGGTTTTTACAGAAGACATCTGCCATTGGGCTGTAAGACACTTTTTATTACCACGTACATACTATGTAGGTGCACTTTACACCTTGTTTCAGGTTTCGTGTGTTCAGAACCACATGAAATGCTCCCAACAGATATTTCCAAGAAGCAAAAATGTCCTCCGTTCAAGCTGAATTCCAAATCCACACTATCTACAGAAAATGTCCTCTGAACCAGAAGGGCGAGTGGTAGGGAGGGACCTACTGCGAATTCAAGTACGCTCCTGCCTCGCAAATGCCTTCCTCCTCGGCTCCATCCACCTCTCCCCCTCCCCCGTCGGTTGCATATGCGATTAAGCATTTATGCATAGTCAACCCGCACGCGCTATTTCCATATTAAAGCTTGTAAGAAAGAACTGTGCTGTACCCACCTAGAACATAGTCACGGCAGTCCAGCATTGCTGTGAAATCTTCTAGAGGTTCAGACAGTCCAAAGCAAGGAGGAAACAGGTAGCACTGTGGGGAGGGTGAAAGAAGGTACTACTATTTCTAACAAATCTACACTATGTTCTTAAGAGAACAAGGGTGGGAGGTGGAAAGTGGATTAGGGGAGAAGCAAAATACAACTTCAGTTACACCATAGCAATCTTCAACTGAATAAGGAAACTTCAGTTGCTCAGAGGAGTTTTAGTCTCTCCTACCAGCTAGGACTGACATTGTCAAGGCAACTGAAGCATGAAAAGTTCCCCTTTTTGTAATAAAATAGAAACAAAGATTGCAGCTGGCAGTTTCCATAATGAAGCTTAATCAGTATGCGTGTGATTAGGGCCTTATGCAAATCTCTCCTCGTTAGCACAGCAGCCAGCACTTTGAAGTCCACGAACAATTCATTTACAGAACACACTGAAAGCACTCCCTGCATAATTTAAATCCTTGCATAAATATTTATCAGCTCATTTGCATATTAATTGGCAGTGCATGAAGGGAAAAATTATCTCCTGAGTGCCAGCATAATAATTAGTAGGATAAAATGAGATTTCTTCCAATGGCCTGGCTCCTCGGACCTAACTTGAGATAGTGCCGGGGGAGAAGAGGCAGAGTTCTGTTAAAATGGCACTGAAATGACACTTACAAATTAGCAACAACTCTGCAGACTTAAGCACCTTTAATCTTATTCCTGCTGGCAACAATGACTTCAGTAATAAGAGGATTTGCAAAAAGCTTTCTACACAATCCAAATAATCCCAAGGAAACAATTAGCAAGGTAGAGGCAGAACACAGGGCCGGCATGATGGTGCCAGGCTGATAGGGAATTTTCCAAATATTAACATACACTGTCTGGGGAAAGCCCCGCCGCTGTAACACAAGGCAGCAACATAAATCCAGAAGCAGTGCGAGGGGCTGTAGAATTATTTTCAAGAGACTGGAAATTCACTGTCTATAAATCTCTTCATACTATCAAATTAACAGAAGAGATTAGCTGAATGCCCCATATTATAGTGTCCTTCCTCCATCAAAATCCATCTAAAGTTGAAGACAGTTTGTTATTCACAATATCAATCACCCAAAAAAGGGGTCATAAAAATTATGAAATTACTTAGTATTTAAGTAAACTTCACCAAATGTATAAGAAAGTATATACTTATACTCTTTGCTGAAGATCTATTCAATGTAAAGTGAATTTCCAAGGTAAACCTCAGGCCCAAGCTTTTAAGGAATATGACATTCCACTGTGATCGCCAAAGACAGCTCAGCAGAAGACTTATAAAAAATCCCAGGAAGTAGGTATTACTACCCTCTTTGTAAAGAAAAAAAGAAAAAGGAGAAAAAGGAAACCGAAGGACAGAGAGCTAAAGCACCTTACCCACTGCTACACTAATACTTCAGAGTCAGAATTTAAAATTGAATTTTGCTGACATCAAAATCTGAGCTCTTGGCTGTTACTACACACTGTGGCCAAGTTATGGAAGTGGTAGGCATAGGGGGCTTGAATATTCAAGGCAGCAAATTAAAATGGCTTGTTTTCAGTGTAGTGAGGAGACTAATAATTGGTGACAAAGATTTTGTGTTTAAAAGTCAAGTATGTCCAGATACACAGAAGAGTGCACTAGAACTGAGGAGAGTTCTCCAGGGTATTATCCCCTTAATAATTGTTTTCATTTAGAACAAATCTTCAAGAATGCCAAGTGTCTGATTTTTTAAAATATGTGTGTACATTTTTCTAACATTAAGGTTCAAATTGAACTCAACTCGCGCCTGTGGAAACGCAAGGCAAGAAGACTTCCATAAGGGA